CTTCAAAATTCCTGTGAAGTCCTTTCCCAGCTGTTAGTGACATTCACATGTCCCCTAATGCTATTTCTGTGTACTATGTAAATATCTACTGAACAGGATTGTACTTGTTCACCTGTGGCTGTCCCATGTGAATTTCCTATAAAAGACATAATGTCTGATTCATCCTCACACCCTCACACTTAACACAGGGCCTGAGACTTAGTTGGTGTGGCAGTTTTGAAATATGACCCCAAAATATTTGGCGTTTCTTCCATTTTGCGGTAGGTCCACGTCCCTGCCTTTGAATCTGAGTGTGCTCCTCACATCAGAGTGGGGTGGAAGTGACGCTGTGTGACTCTGAGGAGATGTCATAAAAAGGGGCATGCAATATTCAGCTGGGATGCTCGCTCTGGGGAGCCCATCACCCCCACCCTGCTGCCATGTAAGGAATCCAACTACTCTGAAGCTGCCATGCTGGAAAGGTCACGTGGGTCACTCCAGTGGAGAGTCTGCCATGGTGGAAAGGTCACATGGGTCGCTCCAGTGGACAGTCTGCCATGCTGGAAAGGTCACGTGGGTCACTCCAGTGGAGAGTCAGCCATGGTGGAAAGGTCACGTGGGTCACTCCAGTGGTGAATCAGCATCAACAGGCTGCCACTGGAGGTCTCAGCTTGGTTATTGAGCCTCCTCAAGCATTCAAATGGCCCCAGTCCTGTGGACAGGTGAGTTCAACTACAGGCCAGGCACCGAGCAACACCTGCCTGCCGAGCCTTTCCTAAATTCCTGACCCTTAAAATTAGGAGCAAAATAAAATGGTTGCCTTAAGCCACCAAGTTCTGGGATCACTGCTGTACAGTAAGAGTCTTGCTCTGTTGACCAGGTTGGAGTGCAGTGCTGCAATCTCAGCTCACTGCAACCTCCGCCTCCCAGATTCAAACAATTCTCCAACCTCTCCCCAGTAGCTGGGATTACAGGTGCCCACCACCATGTCCAGCTAATTTTTGTATTTTTAATAGAGATGAGGATTCACCATGTTAGCCAAGCTGGTCTTGGACTCCTGACCTCTACTGATCAGCCCACCTCTCTTCCCAAAGTGCTGGGATTACAGGCATTGAGCCACCACGTCCGATTTTTTTTTTTTTTTTTTTTTTTATTTTTGGAGTGTTGCTCTGTTGCTCAGACTGCTCTCCATTTTTTTTGTAGCGTTGGGGTCTTGCTCTGTTGCTCAGACTGCTCTCCAACTCTTGGCCTCAAGCAATCCTCCCACCTCGGCACCCCAAAGCACTAAGACAAGTGACAGCCACTGAGCCCAGCCAGTTGTAAGAGTTTTATATTCTCTAATAACATACTACCTGTTTTCTTAAGCAAAAATAAGCTTTAAGAATAAATATTTGGCCTTTATTTATTTATTTAGAGACAAAGTCTCACTCTGTTGCCCAGGCTAGAGTGCAGGGAGGCAATCACAGCTCACTGCAGCCCCAACCTCCAAAACTCAAGTGATCTCTCACCTCAGCCTCCGGGGTAGCTGGGGCTATAGGCACACACCACAACACCCAACTAATTTTTTATTTTTTGTAGAGAAAGGGTTTTGCCATGTTGCCCAGGCTGGTCTCGAACTCCTAGCCTCAACTGCGCCTGCCTCAGCCTCCCGAAGTGCTGGGATTACAGGCATGAGTCACCGTATCCGGCCAATATTTGGCATTTTATAACACCTGAGAAATTGTATTAGTTACTAAAGAGTTCTTAATTTAATCTTTGGAACATATCATTCTGTTAGTATCTGCTAGGCCCTCTCTTCCACCCAGATTCTTATATTGCACTTTTAGATGGTAAGCCACTGGAACATGATTTCTGCAAAGTTTCTTAAATTTGTTACAGACAGTGTTGATAGTCTCCTATCTAGCTCGGTAGCCAACATTTGTAAAACCTTCCTTCCGCTGAGGTAGATTCCTGATTCCAAATGTTTATATTATTTGCTGGCAGGGCATTCAGTAACAAGACATCTGTTCAGAAATCCCTTTAGAAACTTTCTTACATTATTTATGTCACTACTAAAGCTATTTCCCCTCCCCTAAAAAGCAGCTGCTTTACATACAATGAAAACATCATTATTTAGCCATGGTAGTTGATTTATGTTCTGGTTTCTTCTAGTACCCATCATTGACTTTTACACACTAATTGGCTACAGAAGTCTTTCCCTTCTCCTCTGAAAGACTGTCAAATAACTATTTAACTTAATAGTAAATGTAAAATGCTATTCTTATGTTCTCTCAATTAAAAGAACATTTGTCATGATTTTTATGTAACTGCTTTTAACTCACAAATCAGTAAGATCTCCCAAATAGCTGAGATGATTTTTGAAAGTCTGAACTTTAATCTGTTTTTCTCATGCAAACTTAATATACTTACCCCAAATTTCCACATTCCACATCATCAAATCTTTCATCTTGTCTCAAAAGAAAAAAGAAAAAAAAATTTAAAGCCAATTAAGAGCCAAAATCAACCATTTTCAGCCTCAATTTTCAAATGTCAGTTTGTTTTTACCCAATTCTAGCAAATTTATATAGTGTAATTCTAAACTTCACTATTCGACATTTCCCCGTGGAAGAAAAGCAACAGGAACTTTTCACCATCTGTGTTGCTCTTGGAAACCAGCCCCTCCCATCTGCGGCGCGGGCAGTGCAGCACCCAGGCTGGTCTTTGGGGCTCTGCCTGCTCCGCTGCGCTCTGCTCAGCACTGGAACTCGGGCAGTTACCTGCAGCTGAAGCGTTCTGGAGGCTCGAGTTCTGGAAACAAGGTGCCAACGGCAGATAGTGACTTTGTACATTCAACATACAAGTGGGAATTCCGATTTCCAGGAGGTGGGAAAGGAAAAACAGATATTTTAACCAAGTAAAGGTCGAGTCTGCATTTTTGAATAGCCCGTTTTCTGCTGAATCAGCTAATATTTCGGAAGCCTTTGAATTCCAAATTCCTACGGACTTTGGTTTTTCCAAAACAAAAGTGGGAAGGAAGTGTTTTTCAGTATAGAGAGGTTCAACCAGACTAAAATTAAAAAAATAAAAAAGATAGTGGGGTGTATCGCCTGGTGGATATGCCTAGGAGGGCGAAAACACAGAGCTTGCCAAAAACGGGGCGCTGGGGGGTGCAGTCTGACAGTCTACTTGTAAATATGTTTCATAACGAGGTTGCTGAGCTACAGAAAGCAAGAGGAGGAAGACACAGATTCCAACAGCTCAAGGAATCTGCAAATACTGCTGGTTATTTTTGTTTTATGACAAGAGTTGTTTTTGAACGAACAACCACCAGCTACCGCCACCACCAGCAGCGCCCCGAAAATCGAAACTGGCCTCAACTGTACCTTTAAATCTTTTGCTCTGTCCCCACGCCCTCTGCAACTTTTGCCCTCCAGCTGTACTTGTTCCGGTATGAAACCTGGCAAATGGCAAAAATCTTGAAACAAGAAGAGTGAAAGAGAGGAGAGAAAAGGGAAGGAGGGAAGAGGGGGAGGACGGCGGAGAGAAAGAGGTGGGAGAGGGAAAGGAGGGGGGAGAGGAGAGAGGGAAGAAAAAGGATGAGAGGGAGGGAGGAAGAGGGAGAAGGAGATGGGAGGAGGGAGGAGGGGGAAAGAGAGCCGGAGAGCGAGAGCGTGGGGAGTGGGGTGAGAGTGAGAGAGAGAGAGAGGACACATTCTGCCACCCTCCTGGCTAACTGAAATGCTTGTTCCCGAGATTACAGTAATTACAGCCCCAGCATGAGTTCCATACAAGCGCTAAATGAAACAGCACATCAATTAAAAAATAAACACTCCATTCCAGGAGAAAGACAGCCCCCTGGGACGCCCTAACGAGCGTAAATGAACCTGCCGGGCCGCGGGCCCGGGCCGCCCGCAGCCCCCCTCCCGGCCCGTCTTAACGTGGCCGCGGAGCCGGCGGGGGGAGCGTGGGCTGGCGGTGGCCCAAGCGGCTGCTAAAAGCAGCTCGGGTCCGGCTCCGGCCTCGTACAGAGCGCGGATACGTGTCCCGGAGTCCGCGCCAGGGCGCAGCGCCGCCTCCCACCAGAGAAAAGGAGGCTCTGGCAAAAACATGTGAACTTGGGATGGATGAATAGACGTCCCGAGAGCCCAGGCGCAGGCAGGGAATCCAGCCCCGGAGTTTCCAGTCTGTCCTATTTATAAGTTTTGGGGTTTGTTTTGATTTTTAAAAAGAAATGGAATGATTTCTCCTAAGAAAGCACGGCGTCCCGGGGCTTTCTATATTTTGTCTCACCTAATTATCAAAACCCTCTTGGAGATCGCTGCTACGATCACCCAACTCTCCAGGTGGGGAAACTGACACTCCCCCGGGTCACGCGGCGGAGGCGGGAGGAGAGTCCCAAGCGGGCATTTGTCCCCCGCACCCCCTGCGCCCCCAAGGCTGGGTTCCCGGGCATCTCACCCGGGACGTCCCTGGTCCAGCCCCAGTTTAGAATGACTCGACTCCCCCCACAACTCCAAGTCTCACAAGCCATCGTTCTGAGAACCCCAAGGTGGACACCTTTCCCCAGGTCCTCTCAGCGTCGGGCCCCTACAGGCCCCGCGCACTCGTCTGCTGTGGGACCTCTGCGCCGCCCCGAAGAGCGCGAGACCCCGCCGCCTGCAGGTCACCCGCATTCGCGGAGAGTGCCAGCGGGGGCTTGGCTGGTTTGAAACGCGCCGGGGAGGCGCACGCTGCACCAAACCCTGTCCCTGTCCCCTAGGGCGGACTCGGGGAAAGGGGACCAAGACCTCGGACGCACTCAGCGCCGTGGGGACAGCTGTGGCCAACGCTCTGTGTCTGCGGTCAATCCCAAGGTTACCAAAACTCTCCAACCGCAGAGAGTGCGCACAGAGGTGCGGACACTCGGGGACTGCCTTAAAGAAGGCTGAGCCCTGGGAGCGCGTGGACTCCGCCCCGCTGCCCGGTGATTGGCGCGCGGGGCTGGAGGCGGAGACCGAGTCTGCGCTGTATAAATATTCATGAGCCGACCGCGCGGCGCAAGCGGGGCCGGAGCCGGGAAGTTGGGCGAAGGGCGCTGCTCCCGCCGAGGAGGAGGCGGCGGCTGGGCGCGAGCCGCGCCACTCAGGTGTCCGCTCCGCCTTCCGGTCTGGATTTGCTCCTCTGTGTCCAGCAGGAAGGGGACTGCGTGCCCCTCGCCCGACTGCAGCCCGAGCGCGACGCGGACTTTTCCTGGCGGCGGGGGTCCGTCTGTCCCCGCGGCGGGCGGACGAAGGACGGACGCCAGAGAAAGAGGGCGGCGGCCTGGGCCGAGGCTGGTCCCCAACTCTGGCGGCGGCGGCGCGGCCTTGGGGACGGGCATGAGCCCCTGGGGGCCGAGCGGGGGCCGCCAGGGCTGACCGGGCGCGGCGATCGGCCCGGCCCAGCCATCTTGACTGCGCACCGCGGCCCGAGAGGAAACTTGCTGCGCCGCCGCCCTCTGTGCCCGGCGGAGTCACTGCCGCCCGGCGCGGCGCGGCGCGGCGCGGAGAAGCGGTCGGGCGCGCGGAGAGGAGGAGAGCGAGCGCGGGACGATGAGCCGAGGGCCGGCCGCTCTGCGCCGCGAAGACTGAGCGCGCCTCGGGGCGAGCAGAGTGGACCCTCTGGGACCGTGGCGCACGCCTGCGGCCACCTTCAAACCCCCGGAGAAGCAGAAAGGAGTGCGGAAGGGCCCTGACCAGGCTGCAGACCGCGCCGCTGCGTTCGCGCCCCGAGAAGGGGCCAGATTATCGGCAGATCATCCCCCACCCGGGCGAAGCAGAAGGGAGACTCCAGATCACCCGCTTTGCCGGTCTCCGGCTGTCTCGCGGGGCCCCTGGCACCAGTCTCCGCGCCGCCTGGAGGGCGAGGGCACCGGGCCGAGGCGCGCAGCATGGAGTGGGGTTACCTGTTGGAAGTGGCCTCCCTGCTGGCAGCCTTGGCGCTGCTGCAGCGCTCTAGCGGCGCTGCGGCCGCCTCGGCCAAGGAGCTGACGTGCCAGGAGATCACCGTGCCGCTGTGCAAGGGCATCGGCTACAACTACACCTACATGCCCAACCAGTTCAACCACGACACGCAGGACGAGGCGGGCCTGGAGGTGCACCAGTTCTGGCCGCTGGTGGAGATCCAGTGCTCGCCCGACCTCAAGTTCTTCCTGTGCAGCATGTACACGCCCATCTGCCTGGAGGACTACAAGAAGCCGCTGCCGCCCTGCCGCTCGGTGTGCGAGCGCGCCAAGGCCGGCTGCGCGCCGCTCATGCGCCAGTACGGCTTCGCCTGGCCCGACCGCATGCGCTGCGAGCGGCTGCCCGAGCAGGGCAACCCCGACACGCTGTGCATGGACTACAACCGCACCGACCTCACCACGGCCGCGCCCAGCCCGCCGCGCCGCCTGCCGCCGCCGCCGCCCGGCGAGCAGCCGCCCTCGGGCAGCGGCCACGGCCGCCCACCCGGGGCCAGGCCCCCGCACCGCGGCGGCGGCAGGGGCGGTGGCGGCGGGGACGCGGCGGCGCCCCCAGCTCGCGGCGGCGGCGGCGGGAGGGTGCGGCCCCCTGGCGGCGGCGCGGCTCCCTGCGAGCCCGGGTGCCAGTGCCGCGCGCCCATGGTGAGCGTGTCCAGCGAGCGCCACCCGCTCTACAACCGCGTCAAGACAGGCCAGATCGCCAACTGCGCGCTGCCGTGCCACAACCCCTTTTTCAGCCAGGATGAGCGCGCCTTCACGGTCTTCTGGATAGGTCTGTGGTCGGTGCTCTGCTTCGTGTCCACCTTCGCCACTGTCTCCACCTTCCTCATCGACATGGAGCGCTTCAAGTACCCGGAGCGGCCCATCATCTTCCTCTCGGCCTGCTACCTCTTCGTGTCGGTGGGCTACCTGGTGCGCCTGGTGGCGGGCCACGAGAAGGTGGCGTGCAGCGGGGGCGCGCCGGGCGCGGGGGGCGCGGGCGGCGCGGGCGGCGCGGCGGCGGGAGCGGGCGCGGCGGGCGCGGGCGCGGGCGGCCCAGGCGGGCGCGGCGAGTATGAGGAGCTGGGCGCGGTGGAGCAGCACGTGCGCTACGAGACCACGGGCCCCGCGCTGTGCACGGTGGTCTTCCTGTTGGTTTACTTCTTCGGCATGGCCAGCTCCATCTGGTGGGTGATCCTGTCGCTCACGTGGTTCCTGGCGGCCGGCATGAAGTGGGGCAACGAAGCCATCGCCGGCTACTCGCAGTACTTCCACCTGGCCGCGTGGCTCGTGCCCAGCGTCAAGTCCATCGCGGTGCTGGCGCTCAGCTCGGTGGACGGCGACCCGGTGGCGGGCATCTGCTACGTAGGCAACCAGAGCCTGGACAACCTGCGCGGCTTCGTGCTGGCGCCGCTGGTCATCTACCTCTTCATCGGCACCATGTTCCTGCTGGCCGGCTTCGTGTCGCTCTTCCGCATCCGCTCGGTCATCAAGCAGCAGGACGGCCCCACCAAGACGCACAAGCTGGAGAAGCTGATGATCCGCCTGGGCCTGTTCACCGTGCTCTACACCGTGCCCGCCGCGGTGGTGGTCGCCTGCCTCTTCTACGAGCAGCACAACCGCCCACGCTGGGAGGCGACGCACAACTGCCCGTGCCTGCGGGACCTGCAGCCCGACCAGGCGCGCAGGCCCGACTACGCCGTCTTCATGCTCAAGTACTTCATGTGCCTGGTGGTGGGCATCACCTCGGGCGTGTGGGTCTGGTCCGGCAAGACGCTGGAGTCCTGGCGCTCGCTGTGCACCCGCTGCTGCTGGGCCAGCAAGGGTGCCGCGGGGGGCGGGGGCGCTGGCGCCACGGCCGCGGGGGGCGGGGGCGGGCCGGGGGGCGGCAGCGGCGGGGGTCCCGGCGGCGGCGGGGGCTCCCTCTACAGCGACGTCAGCACCGGCCTGACGTGGCGGTCTGGCACGGCCAGCTCCTTGTCTTATCCAAAGCAGATGCCATTGTCCCAGGTCTGAGCGGAGGGGAGGGGGCGCCCAGGAGGGTTGGGGAGGGGGGCGAGGAGACCAGTGCAGCTAAGGGACACTTGACGGGCTGAGGTTCCCACCCCTTCACAGTGTTGATTGCTATTAGCATGATAATGAACTCTTAATGGTATCCATTAGCTGGGACTTAAAAGACTCACTTAGAACAAAGTACCTGGCATTGAAGCCTCCCAGACCCAGCCCCTTTTCCTCCATTGATGTGCGGGGAGCTCCTCCCGCCACGCGTTAATTTCTGTTGGCTGAGGAGCGTGGACTCTGCAGCGTTTCCAGAACCCGAGGCTTGGAGCCCTCCCTGGCTGCACTTGGCTGGGTTTGCAGTCAGATACACAGATTTCACCTGGGAGAGCCTCTTTTTCTCCCTCGACTCTCCTACGTAAACTCCTAACTTACCCTGGAGGAGGGGTGACCGCGACCTGACGGGATTGCACGGTTTGGGTATTCTTAATGACCAGGCAGATGCCTTAAGTAAACAAACAAGAAATGTCTTAATTATACGCCCCAAGTAAATACGGGTTTCTTACATTAGACGATGTATTTATATAATTATTTGTTAAATTGTACAAAATGTGTAAAATATGTATATATCCAAAGATATACAGTGTGTACATTTTTTTGTAAAAAGTTTAGAGGCTTACCCCTGTAAGAACAGATATAAGTATTCTATTTTGTCAATAAAATGACTTTTGATAAATGATTTAACCACTGCCCTCTCCCCCGCCTCTTCTGAGCTGTCACCTTTAAAGTGCTTGCTAAGGACGCATGGGGAAAATGGACATTTTTTGGCTCGTCATTCTGTACATGACCTCAGGCATGGAGAAAATTACTTACTTGTTAAACTCTAGTTCTTAAGTTGTTAGCCAAGTAAATATCATTGTTGAACTGAAATCAAAATCGAGTTTTTGCACCTTCCCCAAAGACGGTGTTTTTCATGGGAGCGCTGTTCTGATCCGTGGATAACAACTCTCACCTTAGTGGATGTAAATGGAACTTCTCCAAGGCAGTCCCTCCCCTTAGGCCTTGTTATTTATCCTGTATGGTATCACTAAAGGTTTCAAAACCCTGCATTCATTTCTGGAGTCCGTGATTTTGAAGGCACCTGGTGTTCCAGGGACGGAACGCATGGCTGAGGTGTAGAGGTTAATGTTTTAAACCATAGCTCACCCTTTACAGTAGAAGTCACTTGACAATCTGGTAGGGGAGCAGGCGCTCTTTAATGGATTAAACTAACGGGTTAACATCTTAATAACCTTCAATGCTTGTGTATACCAAATGTGCTGCTTTTCCTAGAGAAAAAAGCTATTGTTCCTCTGTCAAGACTAAGCTAATTTATTTGAGCAGAAGGCTGTTGAATTAACAGAAGAATGCTCCAGCAATTGTTGAACTTTTTACCTGTCTGCCCAGTGGCTCAGCACATCATTCCTTTAAGAGGAGCTAAATGAATAGGGTTAATCTGTAGGGAACTTGGTCTTTTGAGTTTGAAAAACTTTGATCTTTTCTCCTCTGCAAATGTGCTGTATAGTCTGAAGTTTCTTTCCCTGCTGCCCATCTCCTCTTAGTGCAGACCAATTGGCCACCGCGGAGCCTTAAAGTTCTTCCATTAAAGGGATGTGGGACTTTTACTTTAAAAAGGAGAGAGAGCGCGGGAGAGGAAGACTTGTAACAGTTAGTGAAGACCGGAGGCACAAGTGCTCAGCCTTTTAAACAGCTTTTCCCGGCATTGTTAGCCAGCCTGCAGGCAGCTAGGCATGGGTTGAAGCTTTATAGAAAAGGGCTCTGAATGCCCCACAGGTGGTCTGCGCACATAATCCCCCAATTTAAAGCGTTTTCCTTTGCTGGACAATTGCATTACAAAACTCCCTTCTTTTTCGCTCCTAATTGAACCAATGAACTATTATAAACTACAAGTTTTTCTTTAAAAAAAAAAAATCGTCAGTGCCTAAATTCTATTGACTAAATTCTAGCAAGTTTTCCAAACTGAACCTTTTAAGGCACCGGAAGTAAAAGCTGCTTCACCAGACGTTTCTGTTTTGCGGATATTTTTATTCCTTATGCTTGTTATTTTCTGACAGATTAGCAATAATTTAAAAGTAATTGGTAAGGTTGTGTGTTAGTACTGAAAAGATAGCCCCAGGTCCCTTATTAAGCTGTCAATCAAGATAAGAAATGGGCAGCTACCCTGCTAATGATGGGGCATCAATCATTATGGGATGGGAGGGGCTTTGTTCTGCCCATCCTGCTAAAATGTTTATTCTCCTTACTTTACCTCGGAGGAATCTTTAGTGGTTAAAAACATTTTTGATAGGCTAGACACTACTTCCTTGACCCATCTTAGTCATGTAAGAGGCTTTGCGGAAGAGTTCCACGGGGGTAACTGTGCAGATCCTTTTCAGAGTCAGTCTTGCTGTTAGATTAGATATGCAATTAGAACCCTGCTTTAGCTGCGGTGCCCATCTTATGTTTTAAAGCCAGATCCATTGTAAAAAATGTTCACCTCTCCAATAGTTTGGCTTATTAAAGAATTACTGTTTGTAACTTAGGTACCTAACAGTGGCCTACATCTAACCTACTTGGTAACTCATGTACTGCAGTGTACATATGCCAACCATAAACTTTATATATTCAGTTATAAGGTAGAATTTTGAGGGCAGGTCCCAAAGCCATTACCACATATGTAGGATGGGGAGAAAGCCACAAGTCACCAGTTAGCATGTCGGCTTTCTCAGGTAGCAGTATTCTCATGACTGACACATTTTCAACTGTATGACACAGTGGGAAAATGTCCAACTTTGAAGCTTTTTACCTTATTCTTTACTATATCATTATAAAATGCTATATTTGATAACTCAAGATGTCTCTCAGTGTGTTCAATCTAAGCGAGCTTATCTGACGAACCCAATTTAAATTCTGAGGACAGTTTTCAATGAAAAGACCTGCATCTATACTCACTAGACACTGATTTTAGAGAATGGTGTTAAGACCTAAGTGCTGGTTCTTTGCCTTTGAAGCTATAACTTGAGTTGCATATTTGCCAATACTCAGATGGTGTCTACTAAGGGAGGAAAAACCCAAAATTGATTTTAAGACGGACGAAAGAAGAGTATATGGCAAATTGCATTAGACCAATGAATACCCGTGTGTGCTACACAGGTGTGTCTTTAATAACTACAAAAAACAAGTGTTCATTTTTGAAAATCTTGTCAAATTATTGGGAGTTGGGTTGATGTGGTTGCAGTGTGGCTAAAAGGTCAAGGTCAAATCTAACATGATTAAAACCATTGGTAAAGCAACGCTTGTTAAAACTGCATGTGGGAGAAGTTATGCGAAACACTTTCTTTCTGCTTTATAATAAACGCAATTTGAAAGCTCCATGAAACAGAAGGGGGAAAAGTTTATAAGAAAAGGGTGAGGAGCAAACGATGCCGCATGACAGCTCTTCACCCGCACTGACCTCATGGCAAGTGTCTGTGATTCTTCAGAGTCTGGGCAAAGACAGTGAGATTGTCTTGCCAAAAGAAAACTAGGAGTTTGCAGAGCACACGATGCAATTTAAAGCGTAGGTGCAAACGTTCTGTTGAGTTGGGCAAAATGCAAATCAGTGCGTCAGTCGCTTTCCGTGTTTGATACTATACTGCCATCTCGTGGTAACACAGGGTCCCAGAACGGGGAAGCTAAAGCGGTTCCTTCATTCAATTCATTCATTCAAAAATAGCACACAGCGTGCTAGCCCAGGCACGTGCACAGCCTCCGCCCAGAGGACCTGCAAACATTTTGTGCTCGTAAGTTTGAATCTTTTCTCTGAAGCGCTGCAAAATTGCATCAGTGTGCACTGAAGTTTAAGACCCCACAAGACATCCCGCCAGGCAGTAAGATTACTTTTATTAACTTCAATTGCATTAAGTCCTCCATATAACTTTCATGGAAGAAAGAATGTATAATAAAGAGTATTTTGAGGTGGAATGTGGTTGGCTTGCTTAATTAAATGTTGCTTTACAATTTCTCACGTAGAGGTCAACCTCTGAGTCCAGGGGATTCTCGTGAGTGCTGTACATGAGTGCTGTTAGGGTGAGCAAGACCAGGCTGTCCCTCATTTTACCTAGCCAGGTGTTCATGGAAACACACCAAGAAAAAAAAACTTCACTGGAAAACAAGGTCGGCCAGAGGGAGGAAAGGGGAGCCTCTGCGCTGGAACACTGGAGCCCTCGGGGGGGAAAGATGACACAGCACTGAGGCGTGGAAAGAGCAGGCTCAAGGATGAGCGGGACCGGGCGTGGTGGCTCACACCTGTAATCCCAGCACTTTGGGAGGTCGAAGCAGGCAGATCACCTGGGGTCAGGAGTTTGAGACCAGCCTGGCCAACATGGTGAAACCCTGTCTCTACTAAAAATACAAAAATTAGCCGTGCGTGATGCCAGGCACCTGTAATCCAAGCTACTTGAGAAGCTGAGGCAGGAATTGCTGGAACCAGGAGGCAGAAGCTGCACTGAGCCAAGATTACGCCACTGCCCTCCAGCCTGGGTTACAGAGCAAAACTCTGCCCCAAAAAAAAAAAAAAAAAAAAGGATGAGGAGAGAAACAAGGTTTCTGAGGACCAGAATGTCTAATGGGGGTGGGAGGGAGGGAGGGGACCAGTGGGCAAGAACCACATAAGATCTTGGAGGACTTCCAGAGTTGAGAGACCCCAGGGGCAAGAATCTTGCTGCCCACGGACAGGGAGCAGAGGCATTATGGAAATGTGGAATCTCAGGTCTCTCTTACTGAATCAGAAGCTGCATTTTAACAAGACCCCCAAGCTTCGCATGTGCACTGAAGGGTAGGAAGGGCTAGCACACGGTCCCTCATTTCACTGGTTAGAAAACAAGCCCTTAACAACTGTGCTTACTGAACATCACACAGTCAGGAGCACAGCTGGGCCTAGAAGCCACCAAGCCTGCTTGTCACTCCTGTCTCTGTAGGTCTTTCCCAGCTGTCCTGCTCTTTTGTGTAAACCTCTGAGGCCACCAAAAGGTACATTCAGGCTGGGCGTGGTGGCTCACACCTGTAATCCCAGCACTTTGGGAGGCCGAGATAGGAGGATCACTAGAGGCCAGGAGTTGAAGACATGCTTGGGAAATATAATGAGACTCCATCCCTATAAAAACTGAAAAGCCAGGTGTGGTGCTGCATGCCTGTAGTCCCTTGGGAGGCTGAGGCAGGAGGATCACTTGAGCCCAAGAGTTCAAGGCCGCAGTAAGCTATGAGTGTGCTACTGTACTCCAGCATAAGCAATAGAGGAAGAGCATATCTCAAAATGTATTCATAGCTGGTACAGCAAGTTACCAGGGCTGTGTTTACCTGGTTACAGAATCATGACGGAGTTTTTCCACGTTTGGTGGTCACGACACAGGTCATGTGAATGCCCAGCCTCAGAGGCGAGAGGAGCACTGTGAAAAGGCTTGCCTCTTGGGCCCCTGGGCCAACTTAGGCCAGCTCACCTGCGTTTTGGTGTCTACAGCCACAGTACTCCAATAGATTCTGTATTTAAGAGTCTGCGTTCTGGGGCCGAGCATGGTGGCTCATGCCTGTAATCCCAGCACTTTGGGAGGCCAAGGTGGGCCGATCATGAGGTCAAGGGATCAAGACCATCCTGGCCAGCATAATGAAACCCCATCTCTACTAAAAATATAAACATCAGCTGGGCGTGGTGGCACACGCCTGTAGTCCCAGCTACTCAGGAGGCTGAAGCAGGAGAATTGCTTGAACCTGGGAGGCAGAGGTTGCAGTGGGCCAAGATCATGCCACTGCACTCCAGCCTGGAGCCTGGCAACAGAGCAAGACTCTGTCTCAAAAAAAAAAAAAAAAGAAAAAGAAAGAAAGAGTCTGCGTTCTGGCTTAGTGAGGAAGCACGGTGACTGGGTTCTGTGTCCCACCCTAATCTGGTTTTGAATCGTAATCCCATGTCAAGGGAGGGACACAGCAGGAGGTGACTGGATCATGGGGACAGATTTCCCTCTTGATGTTCTGATAGTGAGTTTTCAAGTGGTCTTGTTTGAGAATGTCTGGCACTTTCCAGTTTCTCTCTCTCTCTCTCTCTCTCTCTCTCTCTCTCTCTCTCCCCCTCTCTCTCTCCTCTCTCTCTCTCTCTCGCCCTCCTGTGACCCTGTAAGATGTCCTGCTTCCCCTTTGCCTTCCATCATGGTTGTAAGTTTCCTGAGGCCTCCCAGGCAGTGCAGAGCTGTGAGTCAATTACACCTCTTTCCTTTGTCAATGACCCAGTCTCAGGGAGTATCTTTATAGCAGTGTAAGAATGGACTAATAGAGGGAGGGAGGGAGGACGGGCTTCTGTTACTGATGGAGTTCACATGGGGATAGGGACCAGATGCGGAATGTGTTGACCCTGGCCGGCAGAGGCCTGAGGACCCTTCAGGGAGAGCCTGGCCTGGGTCAGGGAGGAAGAGAAACAGCAGAACCACTATGCAGCGAAGATCAGCACAGAGATCAGGGAGAGTGAAGGGCTTAGAGAACCCAGGAGAGCATCCCAGAAATCTTGGCAATTGACAGAGCAACCGAGGAAGAGCTTGGCAGCCCAGTGGACTCTTGCCATAGGCTGTGCCCGGGAGGGGATAAGAGCATGGGTGGCACCTGAAAACCTCAGTCGGTAGCCAGAGAAAGGTGGAAGGAAAGAATTGCCCAGTGCAAAAGGCAAAGTTAGGATCAATGTTAGCGAAACAACCCAATTTGGATGGCTTTCGAAGTCTGGGGCAAAGCCATTCTTCACAGGGGACAAACGCACACATTTATAGCGCCACGTTTGTCACTCAGGTGAATCATACACTGATTTAAATGAGACAAGCAATTTCCAACATCTTCCCATCCTAACAAGCCCATTTTTAAATAACCAGCGCTGCAACACAGTGGTTCTCACCCACTTGCATGTTAGAAGCACTTGGGGTGTTCTTTTTATCATTACCGATGCCCATGCTGCACCCCACCCCAATAAAATCAGAATTTTGGGGGGTACCAGCTGGGAGTTCAAAGTTTTCTAAAGCTCTTCCAGGCAATCCCCATGTTCAGCCAGAGTTGAAAACCAGTGGATGTAATTGAATGTGGTATTATCATCTAAAGTGAAATATAGATAGATAGATATTTTATACACATATAGACAGAAATATATCTATAAATATGTCTATATAGATAGGTATGTCTATATGTCTATGTCTTGATGTATGTATATAGACACACATATCTATATAGATGTTTATATATCTATATCTACATTGATATAAAGATTATAGACATATATAAACATATCTCTATATAGATACACAGAAATAGAAATTAGCTAAGCAAAGTAGCTGTTGTCATCTAACTTGACTACTTTAAACAAAAGCAGTGATTTTTTTCTTTTTGTCACCCTGAGAGGTATTTGGGAGATGACAGGAGTGCCCTCACCTGGCGCAAAGAAAGAACTTCTCACTACACAGTTTTCGATAACTGCTTTTTCACCTGTAAGGAAATAACAAAGAATTTTGTGCACACAGGGTATTATTCTATTAAATTAGAAATTAAACCTAACCTGTGAAGTTAGGAGGAACCAATCAGGTCAATGTGTTAGTAAAGATATTAAAATATTATCTTCCTACCGAAAAGCCACCTGCACTCGCATGCATATTGCACCGCTATTCACAATAGCGGAGACACAGATCAACCTAGGTGCCCATCAACAGTGGATTGGATTTTTAAAATGTGATTTGCTATACACCGTGGAATACTATGCAGCCATAAAAAAGAAGTCCCTTGAAGCAACGTGGATGCAGCCAGAGGCCATTATCCTAAGTGAATTAACACAGGAACAGAAAACCAAACACCAG